TGACCTTGGGCAATCGAGTTCACTTCTGTAATTCAAACTGCGATACCTGCTTCCAAAACAGAATGCGTCTACGTTTGGGGCTTCTTAAATAAAATGGAATTTTAGAAACAAAAAGATTTCTAAAACAACCTATTTTCTGGCCTGATTTCCTAAACAATCCCATCCATAAAGCCATAAACGTTTGTTTCTTCGGTAAGTTCTTATTTGCACCAGTGTATTACTGAATATGCCTGAACTTTGACGCTTTTTCTAGCTCTAAACAGAATAGTGTTATTGCCATCTACTTACTCTTAAATAAGAAACAAGGCTAATCTACCCAAAAGAGAGTGAAATATCCTAAATGAAATCTACTGGCGGACAGAAGAATTGCACTTGTCTGCTTTGTACGCAAAAGAAGCTGGAAGATTACAACTGTGTCACATGTATGGTATCCTCAAACCTCCAAAATCTACTATACTGAAAAAGGACTGAGGAAATGAAAGTGCAGATGGGAGCGAGGGAAGCCAAGCCTCGGTTTTAGGATCCAAAGACGGAAGCCAAGGTGCCGGTCTTAAGTTTAGTCCTTGATAACTTCGTTCCCTCTACTGAGAAGACGTGTGAGGTGGCGGCTACAAACTGCAGCTCCCACAGTGAGAGGTATCATCGTGATTCCAGCGTCGCTCCCAATCCTGAATTGGATTCCTGGATTGGAATGGGGAGCAGCAAAATCGTAGCCAAGGTGAATCACCTAGCTACTCCGGGCAGCGAGGGCGGTCATTCTGGGACTAGCATCCTCACTAGGATCGGAGTTCTCCACCACACCAGGGAAGGAGGAAAGGCTGCCCGAACCCGAGGAAGGTACTACGGACACCTGACACCTGCCCCGGACATTCTGTGGGCCCCACCCTCGCTCTCTGGTGTCCTAGCCCAAACCAAAAACCCAGCCTGGGCGCGAGCGTGAGCCTCTCGCGTTTCTGCTTACTTTGTCGCTGGTGCTCTCGGTTTCGTGGTCGCCGCCGGCCGCCTCTCCT